TATGATTGATTGTAGGGTCTATTGTGACCAGACATGTGAGTGGAGCTGGAGAACGGCAAACCTGAGAAATCAGGCAGGCTGCAGCCCTGATCGTGAGTGGGTCTACTCACTCTCGGTCAGGTTGTGGAACACAGGCACCCATACTAGTTGTTTTCCTCTACCTAAAGACAACATTGAACTTGGTCGACGGAGAAGTTTTGTGGCAGTGTCCCATGTTGAAAGGAATGCCGGTTAAGTACATCAGTTTATGGGAAGCTGTGTAGTCGAACATCCTTGTGTATGTTAGAGCTTATGATAAGTGAGTTGCGTACATCGTGGTGGTGCGGTTTCCATCAAGGATGTTAGTGTCTTCATTCTCATCCTACTTTTCAGAGACATACTTTTGCAGGTATGTACCTTTCATCGTGTGACTTTACAGATATTTATCTTGTCACAGGTAAATGCATGGTAGATCAAGAGTACATAGACGTATTCCTATCCTGTTAGGTGAAGACACTGACAATATGCAAAGTCTTCTGGACACCTTGAGTGTCAATGTGAGAATGTTTTGGATGTGTTTGTCACCAGGTGAATGCAGTGTTGCTCCAAGACTGGTCTTTAGGGGTGGTGTGCCTAACAAACAATAGGGAATGAAATGGTTGAGTGTGTTGACCACTTGACTTGCCTGGGAAGTGAGATCAGGCCTTGTGGATCTGTGGTCGACAAAATCTCTACACGGATACAAAAGGCTCATTTGGCTTTTACCAAGTCACCATTTATGGTGCCTCCATGATATCCGATTATCTATGAAGGGTATGGTGTACTGCGCTGTAGTTCGCTCTCCTCTGCTATACGGTTTTGAAACATGGTCGTTAAAGGTAGAGGACACGTGTAGGTCTCAGGTGTTTTACCCCCGTAGTCCTCGTAGCATTGATCTAGTGTTGTGGTTTCACTGCGTTAGAAATGTAGAAGTCAGTTTTAGGTAGGATAGAAAGTCAGTTGGTGAGTTTGTGAACTTTCAACAACTGAGGAGACTGAGATATGTGTTACGTATGCCTGTGATTCTAGGTTCTGTGAATACAAGACTTCTGAGTGGTGTTCGAGAACAGAGAACCTGATAGACCAGTCAGGCTTGGTCGTTAGCCGTTTGCGTGTGTGCACCAAATACTCACTGTTGACCAATGGAAGACAGTCACGCTTACCACCATTAGCTGTATTTCTTCACCTTAAGTCTACATTCAACTCATTCAGTCAAGAGATCTTAGGGCAATATCTCTCACCGAAACGAATGCTGGTTAGGTACATCACCCTGTGGAAAGCTGTGTACCCAAACACCCTAGTCCGTATCCAGACCAATAGCTGCTACCATGATGTGATGATCAGGCTTGCATGTCAGAATGATGCAGTGAGCTGTACCGGTGGAACACTTGTTCTCTGTTCTCTCGATGTCCTACCATGCCAGAACTGTCTGTTCGATAGTGGTAAGACGAAATGCAGTTAGTTGTAGTGTTAACTACGTCACTGTAATGGGGATCAGACAGCGAGGTCGTACTGCTGGCTGTGGGTGTAACAGCACTGACGTATTTCCCTTGGATGACCAATGTCACGTTGATGGTGCTTTTCTTGTGGGTAATAGTAGGGGGTGGGGTTAGAAAAGGTCGATCCGAAAAATGACACACCTCTACTTCTTCCGGCATGCCGATGTTTGCAAAAGGGATCCATAGTCGGATTCAGAAGCAAAACAATAAAATCTCAAGATTGCCAAAATGTTTTAGGTGACCGGTGCCAAGCAGATGTCCCATGAGCTCTGCGGTCACAAATCTTTTTCTCTTTGAGGTTCCCTAAGAAGAAATAACCTTCAACGGTATGGGCAGCCGGGAGTGGTCAGCTACCCGTACGCTCCCAGTAATACACAACACCCCTTCAAACAAAACCTATTCTGCTCAATTCTGTCTTTCTACATAATGTTGATGAGTTAGTTACTTACTTGTTGGTGTTCAAAAGACCCTAGTTTTTATCAGTGTCTCCATTCAGGTGGATTATACCGTATGTACTGTAATTCAAATGAAGAATCTCTGTTGAAATCGAACCCAGTGAAATTATGACCACCGTAAGTATGTGGGGTATGTGGGGTAAAGTTTGGCGAATTGGGGAGTAGGTATGTATGTGTGACGAATGACATTTGATGTAGTTACCGAGAGTCGACTCACCTTGAATCCTAATTCAATCATGATAATTCAAATGAAATCTTCGAGTGTGATAAAATCTATGCAGACCGGAAGACGTTTGGATTGACAGAGTTGAAGTAAACGTTTTTTGAGAAGTATGAGTAGTGTCAGCTGGTCAGTACGGTTCGATTTTCTGGAGATATTTGGAGTCTAAGTGTGAAAAACCCTAGTTGATGACGTGGTTCAAAATCTACTATTCTGGCGACGGAGATGTGTACATTCATTACTGAGTATTAAACTCACTCCTAACCAAAAACAGTTCTGACCCATGCATGTCCGGTGACTCACATTCGTGGTCTGTCAATTTTATTCGCTTAACAGCCTGTCTGTACTTTGCTACATACTTCCACCCAAGGTTTAGCGAAAATATCGACCAATTTGTTTCTATCTATGTCAAGTAGAGCTTTCTTCCTTGCATATCTATCGTGTACGAAGAAACTGTACAATTGCATGGATTGAGTTAGAACTTGCAATCTTGGATGGTTTATTGTTAACATATAGTTTAAAGTTAACTGAGTTTTCGCATGTTAATGTTATTTCTTGAATGAATTCACTGTTTGTTTTGACTTCCATGCTGTGGAAATTCTGTTTCTACATAAACCTCTTGATGAATAATAACTTTGCTCAAACTACTTACTGCATATATGTATGAAATCGATTGGCAGCAGCATCTTACTAGAAATCCTACTCGGTAAGTTCGCGATACCACGTACAGGAGATACCCAAAAAACCACAAAACCTATAAACAAAGAACGACTACTCCGACGTTGGTCAGATCGGCTCAGAAATCTGATAGTTCGGTTTCAGGTGGACACCAAGTAAAAAACGCATTTTTAGAAAAGGGGAGACGTTGCAGGTGCCTAATCCCCAAGAAAAACTAACTTATTATATATGCATGTAAAGTGTGGACCTTACTTTCGTGCTATTTTTGCTGCATGTAATGTTACTTATTTTTACACCGGTTTAGCATACTAAACTGATTGTTTCACTTCATAGTTTTAACATGCTACTTTGTTTTCGTTGGCCAAAGCCATCTGAGGGTATAAAAACGACTGAATTTTCAGGTATAAGGACCATTCGGTTGAAATAAATATACTTCCAATCCCACTGTCTTCTTTTGGTGTCACATGAACAATGTGTTGCTCTATCGTTGATCGTATCGCGTTGAAGTATTATATTGTTATATATATTATATACCGCAGATCACAACAGGTTGGCCAGACGAAAAAGTGGCACCAGTCTATGAAGTCGCTAACTGTTGATTAAAGATACGTAGTGGAGATGCAGACTTTCTGGTTAGGGTCCCCCAGACTATGGGATACAGTGGTTGAGGACTTTTGATGATATCGCTGGAAATTGGTCACAATGGAACAGATATTTACTTCTTGACATCTAAAGCTTGAATATTTGTACTAACCTTCATCTTCGAATTGTTTATTCTCTCCCATAACTTTGTCTACTTTGATATCACTCTCTTTCTATTCATTTGTTCTGTTCTGAAGTGTGGCAACTTGTGGAGATGCACTTGTGTGTGAAGTTGTATGTTGATTTCCTTTATCTGCTTGCAGACTAAATGAACTCGTGCTGGTTTAAAATAAGTACTAGCTACACAGCATCAGTAAAAATGGTAGCCAAAATGGGGATTCATAACGTCGAGAGGACTATCACCTCTTCTGAGTTTTTTCTCTATGTTAAATTCTATCCTCTACAGAAACTCCAGTTTCACATACGTAAATGTCCACAAATATCCAAGTAACGGTAACAGTTCTCACACCCTTTGCTTTATTCTGGAGTCAAATGATGATACTTTTGTAATAAGGAGTCTGATTGTTCTCAACTGATTCCCTATCTACGTTAGCTTCTGTAATAACTATTTATGAATACGATAGGCTTGCCTATTATCAGGATTGAGATCTACCTTGACATTTTGATTTGGCTCAATGATTTAGGGAGATGAGTTTCAACCAATAGATCAATAGTTCGAATAGCGCTCCACTTACCGAGGTTTGAGCAGCCAAGTACTATCATTAGCACTCACGCTAAAGGTGTGGTTAATTGCTTGGACGCGGTGTGACAACAGTAAGGTGTTTCTCACCGATGACCAGCAGTAGTACCTATTGATGTCACCAACCCATATCGAAAGGGGAAGTTAAGCAAGGTTGGCTCCCAAATCAGAACATTCCTCATTGTTGTGTGATATTGTGGTGCTGACGGTATGAAGGTTTTTTGTGTAGTGCTAGCACAATTTTTAAAAATCGAACAATCTGAAAAAGGTCGTACTTGTCTGGCCTCTAGCAAATATTCCTTCGACTCTACCGTTACACGGAACCAGCCTAATTCATCTCTGAGGTACCTCACAACAGTTTTTAGTCTAGGCAACCACAAAATATAGGCCGGCAGCATGCCTCCAGCAGCATAGGAAATCCAAGTAACCAAAGCCAATACATCCTAGATATTGTGGCCTATCCTACGGATAACAGTGGAATCCACGACTCGTGTTTCGTCATGTTTGCGATCCATCAAGTTGGCGTAGTTGCACCCCAGTGAGTGACGTTGTTTCCACTGAGATTCAAACTAACTACCTATCATGTTATCCACTAGGCCACCGAGGTACGATAGCTACAATTTGTGCCATGGGTGTAAGTTGTTGTTTCTTGATGCTCTAACTACCTACTGTATATGTATTTTATCAATTCGTGATCGAATGATTGTGTGGTTTTTGTTTGTACTAGTCGTTTGCATCTGTTTTTATCACACTTCTTATTATCATCGTTGCAATTGATTTTAAATTAGGTGCTCCTGAAATGTAATTCTACAGCAAGAAACAGGGTTGTCGATATTGAATTAACCTGGTTGCATGTGCCATTAGAAGACCAGTCGGCAGAACTTTTAAACATTGTTGCTGATGGACTTATTTCTCCATTGTTATGTCATTTAGTTGGATTACCTTTAGTTCAAGTTACACTTGATCGTGCTTACACTGTTTCTGATCTTCGAAACACTTTTAATTTAGACAATTCAGAACCCTATAAAACTTTCGTCAATGGACCACTTTTAGATCCTGTAGAATTTCCACCGTTAACAACAAACTCAGACGATTCTGGACCTTTGGAATATCATGGAGTTTTTGGAGTGTATGACAAATGTTTACCTCCATGTCGCTCACTTCCTGTAGCCAATACAAAGGTAACTTGTTTATGATAACTTTCAGGTTTTTGGTGACTAATTATTTCAAGTTGTTATTCATCGTAGACTGACGTAAGTTGGAGGAACAAAGGAAACTTGGGAGCACTGGACACCTGTTTCGTCCTAGTATAGGGCTCCTCAGCAGTGCACACACGACCCCGCACCACCGGGGATCGAACCCGGGACCTTCAGGTTTAATGGCCAGCATGTTACCATTGAGCTAGCCACTGGGTCAGAATCGAATGCTCCATATTTTCAACTTTTGTTTGCTCACTATGTAGCGCTGTTGAGTATCATATTTTTCATTTTTAAACTCAGTTATTACTATGTTTTGGTTTGATTGTATGATTCCTATGGTTCCGTTTTTAATAGCTGGTTCACTTTACGGCATAGAAAGGGAACATTCGTTTTTCGTGACCTGAATGCTGGAAAAATATACGGATCTTGAGATGATGTGTATATCATCGTCACATTATGGATCATGTCGAATTACTGATCATCATCTGTTGACTATTATTCTCATGTGCATTGTATACGTCTGTATACCTGGCGTGTATCACTTCATCCACTAGCTTACCCTCTTGAAGATTCTAACTTTAGTACTGATTCAGACAATGTAGTCACTCAAGTCAAGTGATTATTCGTTATAACTAAGGCATTCCATTCATTTTTGTGGTCGCAATTTCTCAATCCTTTTCCTTAATCTATCTGCCACTTTGATACGTAGCTGAATATGACTGACCCAGGGAATTCATTGTGAATTCGGTGCTTGGGAGTCATTACTGGCTGACTTCATTCAACTTTTTTTGTTAAGTGAAGCTAAGTGCATTATTTGTAATCAGTAAGTATACATTTCTCTGACAAACATTAATAAGATCCGTAAACGTTCATTTTTCGCATACTGAAACTTCATGAGTAATCGAACCACTAGAGAAAAACAATCGTCAAGGTGAATGGAGTGAATGACGCGCTCAACTTCTGGAGTTATGTTATTTTCAGGTTAAATACCAATGCATTTGAACTACTTTAGTATTTAGTATAATTGTTTTTATATGATACCGTCGTTGCTTGGACCGAACTGATCGGTCTCTATTGGCGTATGGGCTCCTGTGTGTATGCCTCGATATTGCCTGCGTTCTAATTATATTAATGATAGATTGTGGCTAGAAGTGGAATCCAGGATGTGCATTTCTTCCTATTTGGGACTCACTGGTCAGCTGGATGTACCTGGTTCCCAGTGAGTGATGTTGTTCCCACCGGGTTTCAGACTCAGGAGCGATCACTTCAAATGCCAGAGCGTTATCCACTACACCACCGAGCCACGATATCCACTTCTTGTGCGACGGGTATAGTTTTAGTATAATTGTTTTCATATGATACCGTCGCTGCTTGGATTCCACTGCTAGCCACGATCCATCATTAATACTTTAGTATTCCTTCTACTTTGAAATAATCCCATAGTGTAACCTGAAATACACTTTTGTGTACAGGTAATTAAAAGTGAAATGGAGGAGGAGGAAGGTTTTCGATATTTATACATTCCTATGATAATTAATTACCATTCTTGAATATAAATTAAAAAAAAGCACAATTCATCTTCACTTCGGGATTACTTTTGATCTTTAGGATGAACTAAAGTCTCGTTTCAAAAAGACGTGTAATGATAATGATTTGAGTATTTGTGATGGTGATGTTGAAGTTGCTGACTACATCCCTATATGCTTATTGTGTCCACTTACTCGAACAAGAATTGATGTAAGTTCCTTGTTTTCTTTTGTACTCAACATTGTATATTTTAAAGTGTTTTTATCTAAAATTTCTTACTTAGTGTTATATTCAAATAGTCATTCATTATTGAACTGTGCTTTCTACTCGTTTCATCTGTCAACACACTGATAAGTGTAACTTATAAATCGTTAACTGTTCTTCATGAATTTATGGAAGGAAATTACCATTGTATGCAATTAAGTGTCAGAAGTATGTAAATTAAAATTTAGTCCCAATGTTGAAACTGGTTGTCGACGTTTTTATCACCTTAAGTGGGATGTTCCAGGTAAAACGAAATATACGTGGTGGGTTGTTTTTACCATATTTAGTGGCAGTTTTCGTCACATATCAATTCAAGTTTAACAACCGCTGTTGTTGTCGTCAGGAATCCTAGCACTTATCCCATGATCTAAGTTCTTCACCCATTACTATATAGATGTCGAGCAATTCGACCGTGTATAGCAACATGAGATTGCAAGTATCAAACAACTGTTATACCCTTTTAGATATTTGATAATCAAGACCATAAGAGTCAGTGCCAAAGTTATCGTGAAAATATTTGGTTTTTTTTTCTAGATTCATATACAGTCGCACCGTTGACCTAAAAACGCATTTCAACTGTATCAGCAACCATGTGCATGACTTGGCACTAGACAACTTGCCATATCTGTTGCATACGATCTAGTAATACCATCTAGTTAACTTCAGTCGGTCGAGCCATGGTTTGAACCGACTGGTTGAAAGTTAAGTGCCTAGACCAATAAACTACAGTTTCACAATATATTGACTAATGAAACCTTATTTAAAGTGCTTATCGTAGTTAGGAGTATTTACGAACCGAACAATAAATTCATATTCACTATAAAATGTAATGTCGCCGTTTTGCCGTAAAAGGATTTTCCTCCGGTATTATAATCAATCACCTGAATGTGCGTAATTACACAGACCTTATTGTTTCCGTAATCATGTACGATTCTAATGTGATTGAATATGTATGTCTCTTGAAACAATTTGATACTATGTCATTTTAACGTTATTCATTTCTGCTATTATTATTATTATTATTACTATTACACTGGGGGGTATGAATATTTCCTCATGATTTTTGTTTAATATTGTAAATTTTATCTTGTCATTTGTTATTACACGTTCAACATATCTACTACTACTACTACCTACTACCTACTACTACTACTATTACTAATACTTCTGTCTTTATTCTGTAGTAAATATGAATGTGTAGTATGAATGTATCCGTCCCCTTAGTTTTGTCCTACTTAAGTCATTTATAGCTCACTCAGTCTACAAGGAATTTGAACTTTTCCTGCCAGCTTTGATTACCTCAACTTCTATGTTACACATTAGGTGTAGGTGTAAAATTGTCTAGTGAAGAAATTCATGTATGGTTAGTTGATTCTTTACAAGTGAAATTATTACAAGTTTGTCGTATGAGTCTCGAATATTTTGTTGAATTTCATAAAAATAAATTAGTTATCTGTGTAAAAATTCTTCATGCTTTTATTATAATGTAAACATTAAGCATATACCATTCCACTTACTAAGAGACTGGATCAAAAGTAGCAAACGTGAAGATAGTGTGATTGTCTAACTGCACTGGAAGTGACTTAGTTATTAGGTATGCTCTGTATTTTCACTTATTGATAGAGAATATTTTACTCAAGAACATAACTAAACTACTTCATACATCATACCCTGTTCCTCTTAAAACTCTTTTTATAATCCTAAAGCCTTACTTTCTAGCCAAAATCATCCCAGTTTTATCACTAAGTAGGATTTTGGTTGTCATAGGAGAACAAATATGTGCGTTTACGTGTAATATTTTTGTACCATATGCTTGTAATGCATCAACAACAAGCACCAATCATTATTAACTGGAGAAACCTAAAAGAAGTAGTCTCTTTCACCTACCTACCTAGGCACCATCGTTTCACCTACTGGGAGCCACACAGGCGTAGACGAGGATATCGAAACCAGGATCGGAAAACAGCAAGATAGGCTTTCACTAGTCTGAAATCAGTGTGAAGACCTACTGCACTCAGCATAAAGCGTGAACAAGATCCGGATTTTCAACATAAAGTCAGTCAAGTCAGTGCTGCTATATGGTTTAGAAACTTGGCGCGTCACGAACAGCACTTTGAGCAAACTACAAACATTCTTCATCAACAGCTGCCACCCACGCTCACTCCATACTGTATATCAGATGGCCAGAAAGAATAAACAGCAAGGAACTCCGGGAACGAACCAACCAAGAACCTATCACCCAATAAATACGCAGAAGAAAGTGTAGATGGATTGGATTAGACATACACTGAGAAGGCTGATTGGGGACAACGCGCCAGGCCCTCGAGTGGAAGATATATCGGAAACGACTAGTTGGTCGTCCGAGGCGAGGGTGACATAGAGGAGATGATGTGAGGAAGAAATGAAAGCTTGTGGGTAGTCGTGGTGCCAGGTTGAAAAGACTGCAGGGAAGAGAGTGTAATGGAGTCGTGCTACTGAAGCCCTATGTTCCACTCGAAACCCAAGGGAAAAATAAAAATAATATACGTGTAGTGAGAAACCCACTCTACCAGGAAGTTACGTATTCTGTAGATGCTAGTTGGTTGGAGGCAACCGTCAGGAAGCCCCGGACCTAGGTTTCGTGGTTTTTGGCACTCGTCAGCAAGGCGTATCCGCAACCTCGACGGAACTAATGCCCCGCCTGAGACTCGAATCCGCGTCACCTAGTATTGTAGCCAGCGACTTTACCACTGAGCTACTCGTGCCACGATTGAACTCCTGTAGGACTGGCTTACATATATTGATTGGTAACGGGAGTGCAACCAATTTCATGTTATCTAGGTCTGGTGGATAGGTTTCGGTGTGCACTCAGGACTAGACAACATGAAATTGGTTGCACTCCCGTGACCAATCAATTCATGTGAGCCAATCCTACAGGAGGTCGATCGTGGCCCGAATAGCTCAGTGGTAAAGTTGTTGACTACAACACTGGATGACGCGGGTTTCAATCTCATACAGGACATCAGTTCCGTCGAGGTGGCAGTATACGCCTTGCTGACGAGTGCCAAAAAGCACGAAATCTAGGTCCAAGACTTCCTGTCGATTGCCTCCAACCAACCAACACTTATTCTCTTATACTTCTGTGAAATGTGGCAACTTGTGGAGGTACACCTGTATGTGAAGTTCTACTTTGTCTCACAAGCTTGTTTGTTGGGATTTGAGATGCCATGTCTTTTTCCTCTTAGATGATGTTGCTTGGAATACAAACCGTTAGAGAGATTGTGCTGCAGTTGAAATAAGAGTAGAAAATATCTCTTTGTATATTTGAATGAATTTTTAATTTTTCTTTTGTCCTGTTATTACACTTCCATTACATAACTTTTGTATCTAATTTTATTGAAATATTATTTTGTATAATGCATTTCTTGATAAAAATATGTTAGGCTAAATTTTCTGTTGTGTATAGATAATAATCAAATTTTTTCATGTTATAATGATGTCGGCATCTGGTGCAAGTTATGAGATGTTTTATGCATTCAGTTGGAAGTGAAGTGGATGCTAACTGAAGACTTTGAGTGACAGTCGCGCTATGTTGTTGATTGACAGAAGTTGGAAATTGTGAACCACTGGAAACCGGCCCACTGGCTGAATGATTAACGCATTCGCCGTGAAACCTGAACGTCCTGAGTCCGACCCCTAGCCAGGTTGTGGGTGCGTACTGCTGAGGAGACCCATACTAGTTGGACGGAACAGCCAGCTGTCCAGTGATCCTAGATTTTCAATGATTCCCCAACTGATGTCAGTCCATGATGAATACTACTTCTAAACTAAAAATCCCCATTCATCTCAAAAATGCATTAGAAAAATTATGATTAAGCAATCGGAGTTGTAGTTGCTTCTTCTTCTTCTTCTTTTTTCCCTACGGAATCTGATCAGTTCAAGAAGATAAAGTTTTTTATTTTTCATGATTAACAGGGAATTCTATCAACTTAATCTGTAATTTATCTTACTTAAATTGATGCGTTCGAATATCCTTTGCTTGCCTATTTGTTACAGTTTCTACTTCTTTTTTTCTTCTTCTTGTTTCGTATATTTCTAGATTCCTGTAAGATCATTCAAGTGCTCACATCTTCAGTGTTTTGATTTACATTCCTATTTATCAATCAATATGCGTCGTCCTCGTTGGACCTGTCCTATTTGTAGTATTCCGGCACCATTTCGAGACTTAAGAGTAGACGAGTAAGTGTTGCATATTTCCACTATTCTACTTATAATGTTAACAGTAGTTTGATATTTTTACTCATAAACATTACAGTCTTGCGGAATATAGTTTACACGTTAACATTTTATCGTTCAAGAAACTGAATAATTCTAGTTTTCAAGGTTAATCTAACTTTGATACTGTAATAAGATTTTCCGTTGCATGGTATAATGATTCCATCGAATTTATCACCTTTTTGGTGATATCTCAACGATGACTGGAACAGAAAGTTAGATTATGTGATAAGTTTCGGATCTCTGGTTTGGGCTACAAGTTCAAACACCTTCGTATCTATCTAGCTCATCATCAATATCAATATAGGACTAGGCATTACTGAGTAACGATACGAGTTGTCACAGCTCATATCAGTACATCAAGTAAAAGGGCAGTGAAGTGGAAGATGAAGATAAGAAGATTCAATCAAAAGAAATATAAAGTACGAGAAAGAAAGAAAGAATGACAAAATGGTGTTAAGATGAGGATAATGTGTGTAGGGATACATTTGCGCACTGACATCGGTTTTGAGCCATATCCCTAGAGTCTCCAACCACCGGTTCCTCTTGTCCTGCGGACCCCAACCACCTACCGAGCTACAGATAGCGAGATTGTATCAATAGCCCTCAGATAATAGGTGTGGCTCGCTGCGTATCACACTAAAGTTCAAAAGGTTGGTGAATGAATTTTAATATTAATTTATCCAGTTATTCCAAGTCTTGGTTTATTTCTGTTGATTTTTTCTGATTACACAACTGTTTTTCATTTAATTATGTTTCCTCTTGTTCTTACCCCCTTCCTTCATGCTTCTACATCACGTTTGTTAATGTTCAGTAGTGTATTATTGTGCTATTCTTGTGTTACTTCCGGTGTCACAAACTATACATAGTTGGGTTGACAATATTTCCAATAAGTTGTGACAACCTTATTTTCTGCCATAACCACCGTTACTATATTCTTGTATTTTTATTATCAATAATTGTGTGTAAGCCAGGAGAATCGGTACTGGCTCTAAGTACATATTTATTCACTGATCTGACCCAACAATAGTTTATAATATTACAATATGTGATCGTTTAGTTTACATGTTCAAGTTTAACCATGTAACTTCATACTTCACTGAAGGAATTATGTGTTACATATGGACCATTGGAGTCATTTTCAAGGGTTCAAAAGTAGATTACTGACAAAAAACCATGACCTTGTTTCCAAAGATGACCTAAAAAAAATAAAAGATCAATGCCATGATTGTCTAAGAAAGCAGTTTTCCCTCCGAATTAAAAACAATCACTAAGCAGCTGTCATCTTCTGAATACTTTAGCAGCAATAGATGCGACCTTGTATTTTCATGATAAATTTGGTTAGTTCAAGGTATCGCTTGTCACATTTTGTGAATTGTTCGAGAATCTTTTCATCACACACACAGTGATTCGTGACCACAGAAGTGTACTTAATTTTCATTTTATGGTTAACAATCAGTCTACATACTTTTCTATGAAGATCAGAAATATATGCTAATGAACGTAGTACACTACAAACCCGAATCATTATGAAATGTATGAATAGTAAGGCAAGAAAATATAACCAGAGCATGTTAGGTTATACGGAAACGAAATTGAAAGTGACCATACAAACAAATGTTAAAACTTCGAATAAAATGAAGACTGCTAACGATTACGAACCCTTCTACCTAAAATCCATAGTTCATCACTTAGATGTATAAGACACTAACCAGCACAAATATCCAGGCACCCAAACTTTTCGCCGCTTTCAAATGGTTTCCCATCGTGGGTGAAAGTAAACACACTCTCCTTCCAATCTTTTAGACACACTTCACTTTGATGGTGCGAAGCGCACAACATACTTATGGACACTGGTTACGAATTGACTGACTGAGAGTGATTTGAGTATCCAGTATGTTGTCGTACCATACCGTAATACGATGCGATCAGCATACTGAAGATTGAAACGTCTTTCAGCTAATAAGAGATGTAAACCACAAAGCTCTCCTGGAGAAGACGATGGGTGGCGAAGTTGAAGAGAAAGGGTGAAGTGAGACAGTTCTGTCTAATTGGAGGGATAGTTTGATGAAGGAGAAAGATGGTTGTATGCCGTTATTCTACCTGAGTTTTTAAAGTATGTAGGTTCTAATATGTTGACAAAGGTTTTAGGGACACTCATTTACTTCAGGGTATCCGAGAGTAAAGGCCTGTTCGTGGCTTAATATTGAAGAATTGAACAGCTCTCGACCTGAAACACTTGTAACGGCGGCTTCGAAGCGTCTGGTGGTAGGATGAACACCTGGTCGATACATCCACAACCTGAAGAAACCCGATCTCCTTCTCATGAGTCAGTTTTTCACACGTTTTAAGGAGCCTGTGAAATAAGTATGATAGCAGCCAATACTGCAGAGTCTACTGGTATCAGACTGATACTTCAATGAATTGCATGCACATTAAGTAGACACCTTTTAACGATGAGTATGACAATTGCTTCATTTGAGAGTGCTGAAATACTCTTCGTCTGTTATACTCTCTCAAACAATGTGATCAGTCTTCTATAACTACGGCATCACCTTCTCTAATAAGCTCTGGAGGTGATTTCTCTGGGTCACTTAAGTACTTGGAGTTCCCTACGTAACTCTATTGTGTCAAGTAATCACTGAGCACATGATGATGTGGATGGTGGTGAAGCAGAAGGTCGACTGAGATTTGTTCAGAGGTTTCGTTCCAAGGGTTGACACAAATCTACTGATTAGTAGGTACAAACGTTTCGTATGCTATTGGCATTTTGACTTCGCACCTCTCTGTGGTGAGGATGTAGCTGCCTAGATGGATAACTCGTTGGTGATCATGTTACAAAAGGCAATGAAAATTATCTTCTCATTGTGTTTATGTTATATAAAGAGATAATATTTTGCTCATTGTTTGTGTCTAACTTCGTCTTATGATTTCCTTCTGTATTAGATTATTTATAAGTATATTGAAGAATCCTCGTAGCGCTGATGCTGAATTCGTTCAGCTGGATGCAAATGGTTCTTGGCATTTGAATAATATTTGTGATTCAGGAGAAGCTGAAACAGATAAGTTATTCGTAGAGCCCAAACATACTGATGCTGATACTAACTTAACGTTTGAAAAAGGCTGTAAAGCAGAAGGAGAAGCATCTCTCGACATGTTAAAAGAATCTGAAAATGGTGCTAATATGCATACTGTGCAAGTGGACAAAAAAGAGCAGTCGACTACGAACACTTTTGTCAATCGTGGCAGTGAGACTGGTGACGGAAATAGTCATTTAGAACCTGAAGTGATTATATTGAGCGACGATGAAGATGAAGAAAAAGATGAAAGAGATGATGATGGTGGTTGTGATGGCCACTCCTTAGAGAAAGATGAAGACGAAACTATGAAAGTTGGTGATAAGTCAATGGTTTGTGATAAACATAAAAGAAATGTGGGCCTTGCTTCTTCATGTTCAAATGAAATGGGCACTACGTGAGTCAGTGTATATGCTTTAATGCTATTTCTGAAGCTTTTTCATGCTTTCTCTTACCGAGGATGTATTTTTAAGGTGTTATGTAGTGAATATGCTACCTGTCACCACGTTGATACTCTATGAAACGATTGTGATGGGTTAAATAACTTGATCTGACGACCGTAAGGTTTCTTCCAGTCCTATTCAGCTTCTCCTAGCACTGTACGTCGAGGTAGGTGGTGACTTGGCGTGCATAACACATGTGCTCACTCACTTGGTTTCATCACCATACGTAATCAATGCTACGAAGACACCTGTGATCAAAAATTTCCAACCGCTTCTTATCTTCTGCCTTTGACTTTCATGTCTCTCAGCTGTCTGACGCAAGACGAACTGCAGCGTAATATACTCATCATTTGATGGGTAGTGGGATATTTCTGTAGCACCACAGATGACACAACCAAGCAAATTGCGAACGAGCCTTCTGTGTCCGAGCTAAGATTTCATTAGAAATCACTCCATTGGTGGTACATTTCCCCAAGCAGGTGGAATGGTCGACTCATGCCACTGCTTCAGTCCCAATCATTAGGCTGGGAGTAGTCGGAAACCAGTCCAGAAGCAACTTACATTTGACGACAGGTGCTTAACCTTTGTTATCTAAACATCTTGAGATTTCTGCTCAGTGCGTTCACAAGACCCTGTATTTTGCCAATGTCTTCATCTAGCAGCATAATATCGTTTGTCTTCTCGAAATCAATCAGATGGCCTCCAGGGAGTAGATGGATCCCCGTGAAGTCACAGGTACCTAAGGTCATGTCCATCCATTAGCACGGCCACGACGAAGTTATACAGGAAGGGTGACAGTGGACATCCCCGGTGGACACCACTAGTTGTCGTCAATTCTGACGGTCCTTAAACCCTGTCCATATTCCCTTAAACTGTTGCGAGAGTTTTAGTAGAGAGCTAGCTTTGACTGGCGTTATGCACTTGCCCAGTACTCCTTTGACAGTCAGATACTGCTAGAAGACGTCACAGTAGACAGGGTCAAATGCCACCTTCAGGTTAAAAAATACGGTGAGTGTTAGCCAGCTGTGTTCTGTAACCTGTCGAGTGGTGGAAATCTGTTCGATGCGTTTTGATCCGGATATGAAACTCCCGTGGTTTTCCTGAGTTCCATTTTGACATGGGATAACTATGGATCCAAGAATCCTGGGGTCGAAGTAAGTAAAATTAATTATCCTATGGTTGTGTCACAAGAGGACTTTTCTCATTTCTTATGGTATGGTATGGAATGGAATGGAATGATCAGTGAAGTAGACCAGTGTGATGGGACTGACCACCTCTTATTCGCATTAAACTGCCTAGTACCTCTATTATTTTATTCAGTAATTCCCTAACTCCATCCTTAAAATCTTGTGGTGGCAAACCAGTAGGTCCTGCTGTGTATCTTCTCAAGTTTGAAGCAGCCTTCTCAACTTCCAGGAGAGTTGGACAATTGAAATTCACCTCCGATTCAGTTTTCGGCTGAATTGGTGGCTAGGCAACTGAGGTATGGCTATGGGCCAGCTGAGTTGTGCTTCAAAGTGTTGAAGTCATCTATCCTGAGACGTTAACAGGGTACCATCGTTGTCAGTCATCATTTCACTAACTATCGTCTTCTTGCCGGCATGTTTAGTAAACCTAAATAATTGCTGGGTATCGTCTAATACTGATGCCATCTCCACATCTCGGGGTCATTGAGCAAGACTCTTGGTCAATTTACGTTTTCGTTGATTTCTCTCTTCATAGTGGTCAGAGTGAACTGGAATGAGTCTTCTCGCATCAATCAATTTGAATAACATTGTGGAAATCCATTTAATTTGACTAGTCTTTGTATGTAGATTACCAGGTGTCTTTACCGCTGTTTCTACCGCTCACTGAACATCACCCCGGATTTCCTCAGGATGACGACTTTTGTCACGTCCAGATAACTGCTTAGCTATCTCCTTCTGAAATGCTTACTTGATGTTCTTTCGCATCTTCCAATGGAGCACACACACACTCACAGGCTTCACTGCTGTCGATATCTGACTGTACCTATATAGTGTTATTGAACTCCATAGATGTCTCCATGATGACTTTCCGATTGGCTCAGCGTCTCTGCTTGATTGCTCATGACCTTCGTTACTACGATCAAATCTAAACGCTTTACCTTCTGTAGCGAAACTGATGGCTTCTCACACAATTCATCCTCTACATCATCTGAAATGCACTCTGTGGGTGCGCAGACGGAGGTTGTGAAGCTGTGACTCAATGGTTTAGGAAGATTACTGCCGATCATTAGGTCACAGGTTCGAGTCCAATCCCACCTCCTGACGTTTGGGCAGCCCGGTAGTATCACTAGTCCTCACACAATACGTGTGGTTCATTGCTTACTTCACGGATGGTCACAAGGTAACTGAGTGGGTGTGTGCGCGCACGCGTGCGGTCGTAGACGAAGATCACAAATAGTTGAGGTGAAGTTTGAGGGCTCACCACGATGACCAGGTGAGGTCAAGTAAACAACTACACTCGGGTCCTGTAGGAATGTCTCAGAAAGGCAGAATACGTCCTTGGTTCGAGGTCGCAGAGTTCTGGTGTGCGATGCATGATGTTCAGTTTGGCTTAGGGATTGGATGCTGAAAAATCCAATATGAAATGGACAACGTGTTGTTAGGAGACTGGAAATGAGGTTTCGATGGCAGTAATTGTTGACAATGGATGTAGGGTGAGTGAGATGTTGAGGAAGTTGTATGAATTCGAATGTTGTCATCAAGCGATGAAGACAAGCCAGGAGACAGGGTTGAAGAGGATAATTGATGTTTGAATGGATTTTGTATACTACTGGATTCATGCAGGCGGTTGACACTGTGGCTTCGTATACAGCGGAAGTTGTTTCTGTGGGTACCTCGAAGAGAGAAAGAGCTCATACCACTGACATTGGAATATCGTAGGCCAGAGAGGAATGTGCTGTTTCAGAGTCAACTCTTCTAACCCACCATTAATTAATAAAGGCAACATCAGCGTGCCACTGGTAGTCATTCATGGGAAATAGGTTACTGCCTACCCACCGAATCAACAGTACGACTTCGTTCTCAAACCCCCCTCCCTCATCATAGTGTAGTAATTTACAATGCAATGGTAACTGCTCTTCATATTACCACTGTCCAATAGACCTTTCTGACATAGTTGCACATCGAGGGAGTAAGCGTCCCACCAGCTTGGCACTTTTAGTCATTGTGGTATACCAGCCCGGCCAACACCTTAAGGTAGCACCTGTCGGTTTTGAGTAACCTAACGTGGTAGTGAACAGAAGTTTGGGATTCTTTTACGCCTGCTGTTTCTTTGAACGATGTAGAAGTGTTAGGCCAAGCCGTGGTATTTTATTCATGATTATTGGATAATCGTGATCTACTTTTGTTGAATAAGAGTGATGTAGCCGTTTTTGTGTATGCCTGTCCGCATCCATTGTCTTCTACATACGATTTAACTAGGAAATTTTATATGATTTAACTGCATGGGGAATGTTTTCGTGAAATATGAACTTATTCGTTTAAATTAAGTGGTTGAACATGACTTTGTATGTATTGATACTTGGAGAATCATGTATGCAGAAATTTATTTGTAATTGTGTTGTGTATTGAATATAGCCAGTTGGGAATTTGTTCATACTATCCACAATGGTGTAATTCTGAATGAAAGTACTGAATATACCATTAGAAGATGTTTAATATTCTGCACCTGCTATCGATACTCATCTCAGATATATTTTCTTCTGTAAGTAGCAGAAATTTTTCTATCAAAGTGTTGCAATATCCAATTGATACTCATATTTTCTGTTCTATAGTACAAAAACGGCTTCAACTCTACCTTCAAGACCAATGACATTGGAAATTGATTTAACAAACGAAGATTCAGATTCATCACATTGTGGTGAATCTAATGGTATAATATTAGAATCATCAAGCAATGGAAATCATATTGTATTACAAAATGAAAAAGTTATACACTCAGATTTATCATCTGACTTTGTTCGTACTCGAGATGCAATTCGACTTGGCAATAGAGATCCATTAATTGTGATTAGCCCTTTACCATCGATTAGTATTGCTAACGCATTGTCTGGTTCAATTATAGATGACAAGTTGAATTCACATCTTATAAATGAATTTACTTCTATGCGAAATGAATTGACTTTATATCCTAAACGATTATCAGATGTTGATAGTGATTGGCCTTTAGAATTTGCACAGAATATGACAAAATCCACTAAAACCTCAAATAACATAAATAACAATAAATACAATACAAATCATAATAAATCAGCAATTTATCAACGATTTCTAGAATTAACTGCACACAGAGTGAATCAGACAATGATTAAACAAAATTCACATAATTTATCAACTGAAAATGATAGATTAACAAATAATTCATTATCCTATGCATACAATAGTGGATCAAAGAGAAAAGGTTATTTAACGAAATTAAACAACAAAAAAACTGATAATAGGTCACAACCATCTAAAAAAGTTATAGTATCGGATTCTGAAGGTGAGGTTTGATTTTTGGCGCTTTTTTCTTTTTTGTTCAGTAATGAATGTTTGAACTTTTGACAAACTTCTTGTTAACTTCAACAAGTTATCTAACTCCTTTATTGTCATTCGATCGATTTTTCGTATTCTTTAGGGGGGCTTCAGTAGCACGTCTCCAGTGCACTCTGTTCTCTGAAATCTTTCGAACCTGTCGCCACGACTGCCCACAAGCTCTCATTTCTTCCTCACACGATCTCCTCCGTGTCACCGCCCAACTCGTCATTTCCCATCTGGATCTCACTCGAGCAACTGGCCTGGCGCGTGATGTCCTCAGTCGGCCTTCTCAGTGCATGCCCAATCGAATTCATCTCCACTTTCTTCCAGTGCATATCTGTCGGGCGATAGGTTCCTGGTTGGTTCGTTGCCCGACCAGAGTTTCTTGTTGCTTATTGTTTCTGGCCATCTGATCTTCAGTAACAAGCCAGCGTAGTCAGTTGTTGATGAATGTCTGTAGTTTGTTGGAAATGCTTTTCGTAACGCGCCAGTTCTCCGAACCATCACAGAGAAGCACTGACTTGACTGACTTTGTGTTGAAAATGCGGATGTTGTTCACGCTTTATGGTGAGTGCAGAAGATCTCCACACTGGTTTCAGGCTAATTACCGCCTGTCTTGCTGTTTTCTGATCCTGGTTTTGACGTCCTCATCTGTGCCTGTGCCGCCTGTAGTTGAAACGATGCTGCTTATGTGGATAGGTGAAAGAGACTACTTCCTTTAAGTTTCTCCCATTGATGATGATTTTAGCTTGCTGTTGTTGTTGGTTGTGTATCTTCATCACCTCTGTCTTCTCTACATTCACTTGAATTCATGTCTTCGCTGCCCTGCCTCCTCTATCAACTTGTTAGCTTTCGCCTGTAGATCTTCGAGTTTGTGTGACATCAGACACAAGTCATCGGCAAAATCTAAATCTTCTAGGTTCTTTTTCGCAGTCCACGGTATCCCCCTCTTCTCGCTCCTCACTGTTTGTTGCATGGTCCAGTCCAGTCGACCACAATCAGGAAGATGATTGGTGATAGTAGACAGCCTTGTTTTACTTCTGTCTTCACTTCAAAGGCATCACTGAGTTTTCCATTGTGAATTACTATTCCTACAGGTTGTTACTATTTTAGTTCCAAACTTAATCTGAATATGTCACCTTTCTGTTCATTTGAGTCCCCACGTTTCTACCATATATTCTTCTGATAAGCACACCCAGTAACATGGTTTCGTTATTTGTTTTTCCTCCTGAGATATGAATACCTTCGGAGATTTGATTGATGTGATTGACCTTGTTTCCGAATTCACTTGTGTTGATCATTACAAAAGTGTGGACGACGTAATGAATGTATATTCTCGGTTTAATTATTATTGGAATGACAATTGATTTTGATCTCTATATGACTGCTTCTTCGATTGATTTCGATCTTTATGAGGACATAACAGTTTCTTTTGTTTTGGTTATGTATCTTCTCGTTGAACTGTAAGCATGCTGTTATCATTGAGTAGTTTCTTTCCCTTTTTCAATGTAATCCACTTTGGTCATGATGACAATGTTCCTATCTTTGTCTTGTGATAGTATCACAGTTCTCTTGTCTGAGATTAAATAATAATGTCTCCAGTAAAGTAGTTCGTTTTCCGCGACAGCACTTTCTGCAGCTGTACAATCGCATTTAAATTTAGTTAGTGCGTATAAAAACGTCAATATTTGTTAATGAGTGATTGTTCCAATGGTTTCCCACCAAGGTTGAAAGTAAACACACCTTCCTTCCAATCTTTTAGACACGCTTCACTTTGATGGTGCGAAGCGCACAACATACTTATGGACACTGGTTACGAATTGACTGACTGAGAGTGATTTGAGTATCCAGTATGTTGTCGTACCATACCGTAATACGATGCGATCAGCATACTGAAGATTGAAATCGTCTTTCAGCTAATAAGAGATGTAAACCACAAAGCTCCCTGGAGAAGACGATGGGTGGCGAAGTTGAAGAGAAAGGGTGAAGTGAGACAGTTCTGTCTAATTGGAGGGATAGTTTTTGATGAAGGAGAAAGATGGTTGTATGCCGTTATTTTACCTGAGTTGTTAAAGTATGTAGGTTCTAATATGTTGACAAAGGTTTTAGGGACACTCATGTATTTCAGGGTATCTGAGGGTAAATCCTGTCGAAGGTAGGTAGGATAAATGTGATTCGACTGTCCAAACGGTTACTGCTGATAATATACATGTGTTGAAGGTTCACTCTATGTTGCTGAGTGCATGTTCTACCTTTTGTTTGCCCGTTCGATATATTCCTACTGGCAAGCTCATCGTCACTTATGTCTTCATTAAATCCATTTGTCATATATTTTTACTCTCTTTCTTCAACGGAGGTGTAGCTCAAGCGTTTAGGGAAGTGATTATTAACATTGGTTCACGGGTCCGAATCCCGTTCCACTTACCAGGGTTTGTGCAACCAGGTAGTATCAGTAACTCTCACACAACAGGTGTGGCTCATTGTCTACTGTGCGGAGGTGCACAACATGGCTCAGTGCTTTTCGTTCTTCTTTATCGCTTTTGAATTGTGTATAGTATACCCATAAATCGTTGCTTACTGTTTAATGTAAATCTCGTGTTCACCGTTATCCTTGATTTTGAGAGCATTCACTAATTGTTATCGTTCTAGAGTTTTTGTGCCGATTTACACTTGGCTTTATTCATCTTTAAAATGAATATTTTTCTGGCTATTTTAGTTCGATAGCATAGACAAAGTTTTTTTCCCGAAACATTAACCATGATCTGAATCCAATATATTTTTATGTTACACGTTTTTGGTCAGTTGTGATAACTGTAAGCTGATTACAAATATTTTCCTCGCTGATCCAAGTTGTCGAATAATATGTTTTTCTTTTACAGATGAATCCTTAGATACACCTGGTTCTGTCCCGAGTACATCCTCAACAAGTCGGCGGAACCCCCAATTAATGAAAATGCAACAAGCGGCTGCACTGGCTCGTCTGATGCAGGAGCGGTCTCGTCGTATTAGAAGCATATCTGAAGCATCTAATGAACTGAATGAAAAGGCAGTTGGAAATCTCCCATCAACAAGTGGTGCCATTAGCAGAACAACATCCAGACAGACTGCTGTTAATGCTAACTCGAAGAAAAGACGTACTACTCGTAAGCGGCAACGACAACAACGTTCTAATGTATCTGACGATAGTGAGACTTCTAGTCAATCCTTCTATACTTCAGAAATGTCTTGTGTCTCCGCATCAGAACCGTCAAGCGAATCTGTTTTTAGCAATTCATCCTCACGGTGCACTGAAGAGGATGATGATGATGTGTCAGTCGACTCCTTCTCATCCAATGACCGTTGGTCTCCCTCGCAAGATGTTTGTTTCGGTAGGAAAAAACAACCGAAACGTAAACCTGCAAGAGTACGTCGATGAAATGTTTCTTCTCTTCTTCAGATCTTTCCCAATGTTTTTCCTATGTACTGTACCAGCATTTTTATTTTCTACCAAATTTGTACAGTGTAATTTGTTTTTTTTTCACATAGCTTATGCCTGTATCTACATTCATATTCACACATATATATCTGTAAATTGACACAATCAGTTTTTAATAAAAACGAAGCTTTATTTTGCATTAGCGTTCTTTTTTGAGATACTACTGTATTCGTCATGAGAAAGGAAGTGACTGACTGAGAAAATCAACGTAGAACCTTGCATACACAAGTGCATCTCCACAAGTTGCCACGCTTTACAGTGGCACAAAAGAACAGGTCGATATCAAAGTAGACAGAGTTGTGTGAGAGAACAAGCAGTTTGAAGATAAAGATTACTGTGAATATTCAAGTTCCAGATGCTAAGGAGTGAATACATCTGCGTCATTGTGATCGATTTCCAGTCATGTTACCAAAAGTCCTCAACCACTGATTCCTATCATCTCTAGGACCTTAATCAGGCAGTCTACATATCCCCCAGATGGCCCTGACCAATATCAATAGTCAGGGACTCCATGAACTGGTACTACTTTTTTATCTGACCACCCTGAACCCTCTTCTAACCTCATCCAACGTTTTTTAGAATAGCACTTCGAGGTAGGCGGTGGCTTGGCATGCGCAGTACATATCCAAGCTATCTGAGTTAACTAAGTTCTACAACCCCACCAGTTTAGTTGACTTGCCTTTCCTGCCTAGTACCTCTCGCCTGACCACAACATTGCTAACACGGTGATTCCACCAAACACAAGCAATCCTACGAAGACATGTAATCAAAATCATGCAACCGCTTCATGTTGTCTACTTTTAATGGCTATGTCTCAGCCGTATAACAGGACAGAACGGACTGCAGCGTAGTATAATCATCCTTTAACAGATAGTCAGATATCTTGCCAGTTGGCATCACAGATGACTCCAGTTGGTGAATACCAAGCAGACCTTCTGTATCCAAGCTGAGATCTTATCAACAACCAGTCCGTTCTGGCTGGTGCAAATCCCCAAGTAAGTGAAGTGGTCGATACATTCTATCACTTCATTCTCTTGCTTTCAGGTCAGTTCTTGAGCACCATCTTACATTAGACAGATGCGAAAGATGCTCAGATTTCCTCTCAAAGCGTTCAGAAGACCCTGCATTTTGTCAGCGTTTTCACCGAGCAGGACAACATCATTTGCATACTCCAATTCAACCGGATGACGCTTAGAGAGTAAATCAATCCGTATGAAGTGAGGTGTACTGAATGTTATATACATTAGTACATCTGTAACGAAGTTAAGTAGGAATGGTGACAGTGAACATTCGTGGCAGATACCACTTAGTTGTTGAAACGAAGCAGCATTAAAAAATCGATATTCTTAGCATGTTTAGTTCCGATGGTCATGGTAAAGGAATTAGCAGTCTAGCCATGTACTGAGAAGTTACGAAATATAGTTGTATACGTTCTCCGCTGTATACTTACTTCAGTTTTTAACGAGTGGTACGAGGTGGGTTTAAGCAATTCATTTTTTTCATGTAAATTAAGATATCGTTCATGCATATATTTCGAAAGTGCCGAGGAAATTTGTCACGCTTCATCATTCCCTCTTGAGATATGTATTTCAAATGTTTTGATGTCATTATCAAAGCTTGGCATGTTGAAATAAATATAATGCTGCCATTCATTTATTCCTCTCTTATGTTAAATAACTTTATCCTATTTATGAAGCATACCATAAGAACATATCTGAAACAAAATTCAAACTCTTCTGAAACTTTAAGCTTACTGGTAGGTGGTAGAAATGGAATTTTGAAAACGAATTTCCCGTACAACACTTAACAAATTACTATTATTTGTCCCTTGGGTTCCTAGTGGAACGTAAGGCTGCAGTTGCACGTCTCCATTTCACTCCCTTCTCTTCAGTCCTCAAGAAACTGGCTCCACCACTCCCCATAAACTTTAATTTCTTTCTCACATGATCTTCATGTCATCCTTGGACACCCAACTCATCGTTCCCCTTTCGGGTTCCACTTGACGACCTGGCCTGACAGTGATGTCCCCAAACCGTCTTCTCAGTGTATGCCCAATCCATCTCCACTTTCTTCTACATATTTTGTTGGACGATAGCTTTTTGCTTCGTTGGTTCGTTCCCAGAGTTCCTTGTTGCTTATTCTTTCTCGCCTTCTCATCTCACCTCATCTGATCTTCAGTATCAAGCCGGCGTATGTGGCAGCTGTTGATGAATATCTGTAGTTTATTGGGAGGAAATGCTTTTCGTGACACGCCAAGTTTCTGAACCATCACATAGAAGCACTAACTTGACTGATGTTAGTGTTGAAAACGCGGATCTTGTTCACGCTTTATGCTGAGTGGAGTTCAGTGAAAGAGATCTCCACACTGATTTGAGATTAGTGAAAGCCTGTCTTGCTTTTGTGATCCTGGTTTTGACATCCTCGTCTGTGCCTGTGCCGCCTGTAGTTGAAACGATGCTGCTTATGTGATAGGTGAAAGAGACTACTTCCTTTAAGTTTCTCCCATTTGTGATGATTGGGGCTTGCTGTTGTTGTTGGTTGTTTATCTTCATCACCTCTGTCTTCTCTACATTCACTTGGATTCCCGTTTTCGCTGCCCTGCCTCTTCTGTCAACTTGTTAGCTTTCGCCTGTAGATCTTCGAGTTTGTGTGACATTAGACATAAATCATCATCGGCGAAATCCAAATCTTCTGATCAATAGCCACCTTTTCCTTACCAATAGTAATTTGAGCATAACTCAACTTAGCTGACAGGTTATATAGTGTGTTGCGAACTCCACTTATTGCTTCGGAGTTTATGATAGTATGCGTTTGCTCAGGTTGAGTGATGTCGAGTGGCATTCATATAACATGATCAAGCAGCATTCAGGAGAAGCACGTAAGAAGGGTTTTCTTCATTTCAAAGAATTAGCAACCATTGTTATCAGGGTAAGCAGTCTAACCAAATGAATTTTTTTATAATTAAATAAATGGATCTGAAATATGCAACATTAGCTACTTACTTTCGTAAAGATGTTGAAAATAAACAAACGGTCATCAGTGAAAACAACCTTGTTCTTATCATTCGCCGGGAAATGAAAATCTCATGCGACTTTAAGGATGAGGATTTAGTCTAGAGTTATTTAAATATGACCTATGGTTCTTAATTCCAGCTCAACAACCAACGGTTATTAGAAAGGACAAAAAGACAGATGATTGGTTAGTATTTTTCATGAAAAATGTAGTCTAAATATTCGTCCTTAACTCTAAACAAAGTTGCTAGGGTCATCAGCATTTTATTGTTATTATTATTTGTCCCTTGGGTTCCTAGTAAAACATACGGCTTCAGTAGCGCAACGCCATTTCACTCTCTTCTCTCCACTCTTTCCAACCTCATTCCAAAAATACCCATAACCTATCATTTCTTACTCACACAATCTCCTCCATGTCACACTCGTCCCACGTCCAACTCATCCTTTATCATCTAACTTACACTTGACGACCTCACCTGTCACATGATGTCTCCAAACAGTCCTCTCAGTCCATGTCCATGTCCAATCCATCTCCACTTTATTCTTCTTCTGCATATTCCTTTGGTGATGGTTTGTTTCTTGCTTCGTTGGTTGGTTGGTTGGTTAGTTGGTTGCCAGGACACACTTCCTCCTTGCTTATTCTTTCTCGCCATCTCATCTCATCATCTCATCTGATCCTATACAATCTCATCCCATCCCATCTCATCTCATCTCATTTGATCTCACTCATCTTCAGTATGGAGTGAGTATATGTGGCAGGTGTTCATGTATGTCTGTAGTTTATTGGAGGGAAATGATTTCATAATGCACTAGGTCTCTCAACCCTCACATGGAAGTACTGACTTGACTGATATTATTGTTGAAAATCTGGATGTTGTTCACGCTTTATGCTGAGTGTAGTGCAGTAGATCTCCATACTGATCTCCACCGATTAATGAAGGAATACGTGTCTCGCTGTCTTTCCGATGGTGACTGGCTTTGACATTGTGATGTGTGCCGCTGCCGCCGTTACCGCCATGTGTAGTTGGGAGGATATTGCCTAGGTAGGTAGGTATGTGAAGGAGACAATTTGCCTTTCTATTTCTCTCATTGCTGATGACTGGTGCTTGTTGTTATTGTTGTTTGGGCGGTGTCTTCATCACCTCTGTCTTCTCTACGTTCACCTGAAGTCCCACAGCAGCATTCGACTGATCTAGTGTTAATCTTGACCAAAGGTCATGTGTATTATATTGTTCCATTGTTGACCTTTGTCAAAGGTGTCAACGGCAGTTTATTATTCTGTTTTAAGTCTGGGCCAAAGGTTATGCTATTGTCATTTTATTAGTTTATTACTAACCAGCGTCTGAAAAACAGTTTTTCTAAATCAAACTTGACAATTATTGTCTCAATGGAATAAATATGTAGAAAGTTATATTTTCAGGTAGTTTTGCCTTCTCCAGAGTAATAAGTCAGGCTTTTCCAGTCTTATCTTCGTTATCTTTCAGCAGTATGGGGATGGTTTTCCAATGAGGAGTATCAATTATCGTATATCAAATTGTTATCGGTATATAATGACAATTCCTAATTAGTAATTCATATATTGTAAGAAATCAATAATCTAGTATTGTTTGGTCATATCAGGTATACCGGTAAAGACACATGAACATGTCGGTACCTCAACTACAATCGTTTTCATCTTATCAGCTATAAACAACCTTTAGGCAGTATAGTGTTCAATTGATTCAGAAAATTATATTTAAAGGATAAAGAGAGAGTATCTGTTATTATTAATACGACTAAATTCTAAACGATTGCTAGAAATATCCATAAAGTAATCAGTAAAATAGCACTATATGTCAAATTATTTATTAGGTAAATGGGTCTAAAACGTATTCATGTCTTTAAATATAAGTCGATCAGTAAAACACGTAATACATGTTCCACTAACGT